GAAACCTCATGAAAGTCACCTGTGACAGTAAGAGTCACTCCTGGAACACCAATCCATTTCACATTATCTTCAACAGTTGTGTATCTGGGAGCGCCAATCCAGTTCAGGTTTATCCAACTGAATAAATCGAGTTTATCAGCAATGAGTCTGAAATAGTACTCATGTGAATCTTTCTGTGTCACATGACTCAGTCTGATAGTGCAGTTCTTCTGTTTATCTCCCAGATACTGAAGCCTCTGACTGTATTCAGGGTCCTCAAACAAATCAGGAGGCTCTACACCTTTTACATGGTTTTTGGTCAAGGACACATTATTGATCTGATATCCAGTAGGGTATGTATAAGTGCAGCTCATTATCACTGATGAGTCCTTTAGTGCACAGATGTGTGAATGTCTGTAACTCACACTCCAACCAGCACTAGAAACCCCTGAAACAAATAATAGTATGTTGTTTTGTGAGTTAACATTAACCTATGGGAAATCATGACAATATGTTTATTACATAAAAATGATGCCTCAGAACAACAAATGACAGTAATCTTCTCAAAACCTAATGAGTGTGAAAAATGATTTCAGCTCTTCATGAAGTTGGTGGAGGATGTTGCAGAATTAAACAGTTGGACCTGAAACCAGCAAAGAAATCCGTCATTAAGGTCTGGGTATACTTCTTTTTTTTCACATTCCTCTCCGTCTCATGCACAGCTGTATCCATGCAGCTTTCAAAGTATACTCGGCTGCAGATGAGCGTGGATGAGCTTGACACATGCGCAGTAACACTAAGTGGACTTTTTCTGTCTTAACATTCACCTCACACCTGTGCTGTTGTACACAGACCGTCCACACGGACACAAAAATTGGGTTGCATGCGGAAGGCATGTGTGGATATCCCCAGACTCTTCTGTTGATGAAAATAGTGTCACGCAGACAGTATGCAGACTGTTGCGGAAAGCGGACGGCCAGTATATAGCCCAAAGTATATTTTGGCTGTCCGCGTATACAACAGGTGAATGCTGAGACAGAACGAATACACTTGGTGGTACTGCACATGTGTTGAACTCGTCCATCTGCACTCATTCGTGGTTAAGTATACTCTGAAAGCTGGTCAGACACAGCTGTGCCTGAGACGGAAGATAGCATGGAAAAAGAAGTATACCCGCGCCTTACTTTGAACTCTTCTCAAGTATCATTACTGTATGCCTGTAGTTATTATTATTTGGATCTCAAAAAATAACCAAATGGGAACCAAACACTAACATTAGAGTAAAATTCTGTGTTTGCTGGGTGGTTTCCTTTTCTGCAACATTGTGGCTGCAGGAACATACAAACTATGGGCCTTTGACTCCCATAGTTTGTATGTTTGATCAGAAAAATTAAATTTTTCTGATCAAATAGCTATAATTAGTTAAAACTGTTCCATTTACACTTGGCCAAATAAAAATGTCCTCGCAATATATGTAGTCACCACTATAAACCCCTGAAACAGATTTCATAATAAAGACATCAGCAGCCGGTTCTACAAATGCTGAATTATTTCTAATGTAAGAAAATGTGTGGAGGGTAAAGAATAAGAGCAGAAATCAGATATTTGACACAAATGATGCTGCAAAAATAATTTAAATATTTTGAAAACAATAACAATAATATTAATTTGATCAGTGAATATAGAGCAAAGTGTTGTTGTAATATAAGTCACTCACTGTGAATCATGAGCAGAAAGATCAGAGGAAGAGGAGGAGCCATTCTGACTGACATCACCATAGCAACACCTACAACAACCAATAAACGATCAGTTACTGTACCGTCAATATGATCTAAACATCTGTGTCTAATTCTTAACATGTTTATTTTTTAATTCTGATCTTGGGCTCCATTGTTAACATTTTGCAAAGGAGTGAGAAGCACCAATATAGATAAAATATTTAATAAATTGTGTGTGTGTGTGTGTGTGTGTGTGAGTGTGAGAGAGAGAGAGACCCTGGACCACAAAACCAGTCATAAGTAGCACGGGTATATTTGTAGCAATAGCCAACAATACATTGTATGGGTGAAAATTATTGATTTTTCTTTTATGCCAAAAATCATTAGGATATGACGTAAAGATTATGTTCCATGAAGATATTTAGTCAATTTCCTACTGTAAATATATTTAAAAAATCGATTTATCATTAGTAATAAGCATTGCTAAGGACTTCATTTGGACAACTTTAAAGGTGATTTTCTCAATATTTAGATTTTTTTTATTTTTTTTGCACCCTCAGATTCCAGATTTTCAAATGGTTGTATCTCGGCCAAATATCCTAAAAAAACATACATACGTGGAAAGCTTATTTATTCAGCTTTCAGATGTTGTATGAATCTCAGTTTCAAAAAATTGACCCTTATGACTGGTTTTGTAGTTCAAGGTCACACACACACATATATATATTAGGGGTCGCACCGACTAGTCGACTTTAATGATCTGCCATGACACTTTAAGCTTGACGTCAACTAGTCGCTGGTCCTATAGAGGTCACAACAGGATAAGAAAACTTTGAAGTCCACATTTACGTTCTGTTTCCAATCAGTTAAAATGACAAATAAATGCATACTCCGAAAGTACTCCACAAGATATGTATGCAGTGGGCACAACTGCACATTTGCTGAGGGGTATGACACACACAGTCTCACGGCTCTCGGGAGCAGCAGCAGTACATATGTCTTGGCAATAGATCTGCTTGTTCTGGGGGGTTTTACCTTTTATATTTCTTCTGCCTTATGGGGATGATATTAAGCATATTATTGTATAGCAGCAAAATACATATTTAATTGTTTTGTTTTCTTCTTCCAGCTTTGTTGGAGGGATATTTTATATGATCTTTGTGCAGCAGCAATATGTCTTAAATACTCACGGCACCGTATCGCCATATGCATTGGCAGTAGCAAGTTCCTATACTTGCTTGCAGCAGCAGCAATAATCTACAACTACAGTAATAACCAACAGCAGCAGCAATTCAGCAGCAGCGTAGCAGATCTATTACGCCAAGACCAAATACATTAACATTGTCATATTCATTACCATGCTAAAATCTTCCGAGAGTTGTCACGATTGAACCTTATCTTAATTTAATGCTGTATATTGAGCAGCGGATGATGTTAAATCCATTTACGAGATACAAATCTGAGGACAAATGCATTGTTGGTTGGCGCCACCGAGCATGCAGGTGTGAATTAGCTAAAGCGAACAATCGTTTCACATTCGGCCGTTCGTCGGCGATTCACCTCACTTTTTCACATCACGCTCAGTGTGGAAATGCCTTTACAAATGTAAGGGTTCTACAAACTATTTTAGTCATTATACATACCACTGCATCTTTTTTCAATTACAAAATAATAGACAGAATCTTAGACATCGAATAAGGGATTTATTTGAGCACTAGAAAAATACAATAAAAATATTTTTTTGAGTAATAAAAAGAAAAAAAAGAAGAGAGAAAAAAATAATTAGCTTTGTATGTCAAGTACATACTCTGATTGCCAGACATACAGCATTCACACTGATTGCTGGTCATACAGTCAGTAATCACATGCTGATGGCCGGTCATACAGACGGTAATCATACAGATTCAATTAAATTCAAATTTATTTGTATAGCACTTTTCACGATACAAATCGTTGCAAAGCAACTTTACAGCAAATTTAGTTTCTACAATATTTAGTAGTAGCTTATCAGTGGTGACTGTCAGTTAATGTACATATGGCAGAAATGTACAGAAAAATCAATCAATCAAACTTATAGCAAAGTTTGGTAGTTCTGTGTTGTTTCAGGGTTGGCATCATCTGAGGTCCTCTGAGAGGTTGGCATCATCTCTTCTCAGGTGTTCTGGATCCAGACTGAAGCTTG